GAATGACTCATTGGTGATTTGGACTGATCTGATAGCAGCATGTGAATGATGCTGACGGAGCGAGTCAAACCACTCTCAGTGATCCAGGAGCTCAAGTGCGCTGCTAATAATTCATAGGCTCTGTCCCAAATGGTAGTGGAGTCCAGAAGACCGTAGGGTGTCCCGTTTGTTTCAGAAGGGTGCTAAGCAGTGCTCTCTCTGTGGTCACTGTGCACTTCTTCTGAAGCCGCATTGAGACGAGCTCCTGACGGTCAGAGCTAAACCTCTGGGCATCACACAGGTGCAACGGTGCTGGAGAAAAACAGGCACATGAGTGCAGCTAAAAGTTCAACTTTAAAAGAAACGTTATTTTCTCCATCCTACTTCCTGCATCTGGTGTTTTTAAATGCGTTCTGTGTGAACGGTCCCTTACGCTGTCATTTGGGACATTGTCAGAGTAACACAAGACTTCAAGCTGTATTCTGTCCAAACATGTCTCGTTGTGGGATGCAGGTGAATGTGTTTTCTCTCTCTCGCTCTCTGTTATGAAAGTGCACCGCTTGTACAGTAACCACAAGCACATCACCTATCATCCGTGCATCTATCTGACCTTTGCATTACTGGTTATTTACAACATTTGATTTACCTGTTTTAATGTTTGGTTTATTTTTGAAAGATGAAACATAACTTAGCAATTAATTACTATTCTATAGAAATTCTTTCTGCATAACCAATTTTTTTCATATTTTACAAGGAACTATGTGATTACTTCTTATCATTGAATTTAATGAAGAAAAAGAATGCCTTAATTCTCTGTAATGTAAAGCGTTTTGTACCAGGCCAGTTATTTTAATATAAGTTTATATTGTTCAGTGAAGTTCTTGGAAAAAGACAGGGATGAGTGCGTGGCCTAAAAGTGTTGTCTCTTGTGTGCTGGGGGGCTTATATAATATATAATTTTTTTCAATATTCAATATATTTCATTTCCATTTAGTTTGAAGTATTAAAATAACTCAAATTAAATAAAACTAAAAACTTAATAAAAGACCTATACAGACAGAATAAATTCAGACAATGTAGGCATAACTAAAATTAAAATAAGTAACAAATACAAATAATACAAATCAAATGACAGTAGTTTATCAGTAATCCTGAAAAATAACACTGCCAAACACACATGCTAAAAAACAACAACTTACACATAGTAAGAAATGGTTATAAAAACTGAAACAGAAGCGAAACAAGTAGTAGGAAAGAGGAGAAAAAAAAGCAATACTTATTCAAACTAATGAAAGTACTATACAAGTATAAGTATTTAGTACAATGGTCCTGCAAGAAAAAGACAAGATCCGCAAATCCGTGGCTACAGAACAGCAGAATATGAACGCAATGCACAAAGTCTCT